TTTTTCAAAGACATCGTGTGTCATTCAATTAAAACTTGCTCATTTGTCTTCATTCTGTTACTTCATGATACTATTTTTGAGATAACATCAATGTTTTATGAAAAGCATTATAAAAGTGTGAAGTAAGACCTGTTGGGTTCTTTTAGAGATTGAATATACTGTATTTAATCCAGCAGAGGGATATATGCAGGGGCATATGCATTTACTTAAAGCATATCGTGAAGAATTAATGTCCTTAGTTGATTCTGCTGTGTTAGATCCTCCCTTATTTCTCTGCTGTTTTAAGCAACAATCATAATTCCTACTTTTTATTTTCTTAAAGTAGATTTTTGTTTTGCACTAGAGTCTTTGTAAATCTCTAATTCCCTCCGTGTGAGGTTCTGGAGAACCTTTACTTTAAAAGCGTAGGAGGATTCGGGGTTGGGTTTTGTTTTTGTTTTTAATTCTATGGGTCAGCGTTTGATAATATGTATCATAACTGGAAGAAGATACTCCATAATCTAGTTTACCAAATAATCAAAGGATTTTTTTTTTTTAAAAAAAGCACCAACAACTTTAATGCATGATTATTCTCTTTACGTTACTTCTTAGTGTTCTGGTTTTCTCTCTCTCTTGGGAGAAAAAAAAAAAAGTTTGATGGGATTATTTCTCAGTTAACTCAGTTAACTGTTAACTGCCTTGCTTTGTCAGGAGATGTGTTGAGTGAGTCATTTGAAACTTTTTTATTTAGCTCCATTACTTTTTTAGTTCCATTAATTTAGAGCAATATTACATACAACAAATGAAAAGGGTGTAGTTACACGCTTCATGCTTTATGCTGCTTTTTCTTCATGTGCTGTGCTGTTCTTGAGTTGGTGCTTAACAATTCTATACATATTTAGTTCTCTATGGAGTCAATTTCTGCAACACCAGACAGTGGTTCCTATTCTCCTCCTCCCCTATCTCCGATAAAGTGGAAGCCAGAAATATTTGCAGAGGAGACTTGCATTCCAGTGCCAGGATGTGATACTTCTGCATAAGCAGCACATTTCCTTTATATAGTCATACCACTTATTTATTTAGCAATGTAACATCAGAAAAAAACATGTAACTGTGTTTGCAATAGTTTTGTTTTATGTAACAAGGAGATTTTATTGCAAAGAAGGTAACAATTGTTAGTGATAGTACTACAGTAATTGAAGTCTACATCATGATATAAATAGGTGATGGGCATCTGCTGTCCCTGTTCTACAGAGTCCTGCAGGTGCAATGTCCTCTGGTCTTTTCAGTCTCCAAAGGGTACGTGTCCAAAACGGACTGGGCTCAGCTGCCAATGGTGCCAATGACGTTTAGCCAATGTATTTATTACAGGAAGCTCTGATGGTCAGACACAGATGAGACTTTTTTATGCTGGGCACTAAATAGACAGTTTATTTAGACCTATTTATAAACCTTTAAACATTTTAAATAAGCAGTAAATACCTGTTTCCTGGCTCATTTAAATAGAGAAAGAGTGAAATTTTGGCATAGGGTTTTTGCTGTGTCAGCACCAAAGTCCAGTTAAAACCATGGAACTTCCAGGTAAACAAGAAGTTACTGGTTAGACTGTGTTACCTGGCTCCCTTTCATCTTTTGCCTTTCTTTCCTTTAAGCTTATTTTACAAAATGGGGGAGAGAGAGAGTGAGAGAGAGGGAGGAAGGGAAAGGGAAAAGGAGAGAGAGAGAAAAAAAAAAGGCCACTTAATCCTAATATCTACAGCTTGAGGAAGACTTCTAACAGCTCTCAGTTCTTATATCCCTGTAGGAGCGATAGTTTCCTGATCGCCTCCAGAGAGCTCCTCAATTGACCCAAGAACAATCTGAATTAGAAGTCAGAATACCTACCAAAAGAGCTCATGGATGAAGAACAGCTTGTCTAAACTGAATTCAAGAAAATCTAAGCACTGTTAGTCAGAAATGGTGACTTAAAGAGTTGAGATATCCCTTTAATGAAGTCTTGTCATCTCTGATTTGTCAGTACTGCAAAGCAGGAGGATGCTTGAATGATCAGGTGACATATGAGTTCAGATATGCCCTTTTTTTTTCCCCTCCAGCTTGCTAGGAAACTTTGTAGCTCCTTTTCTTTTTCCATAACCACCCTTCCCCCATGAAGATCTCACTGTAGTGAACTTTATTTATGCTAGTTCCAATCTGAATTGCATAACATAACTTATAGAAATCCAAATAAGCTGAATGAGAAGGCTTCAGGCAGTACGAGATGCTATTGCCTGTCTTTGCTGGCTGCTAATTCTAGTTTAAAGCTCTCCTAGCTGCTTACTCAATTAATGGATGTGTGACCCAAAGGCTCTCCCTCCATTTCTAGATCAAGCAGTTTAAGTTGAGGGAGTCCCACGGAAGCAGTCACGGAATGAGCAGCTCAGACTGGGCTAGAGTGAAAGCCCTCGGCTGAGGTGATGGGCCCTTTCTTCTTGAATAGGCAAGATAAGGTGCTGCTTCTATCTAATAAATCCCCAACGAGAAAAAAAAAATCACGAGGCAGGTGTGGAGGGTTTGTTTGTTTTTAGTTGAAAGAAAGATAGCTGGAAGTAATGTAGTCTTTTCATTTCTCTTTACTACTCCAGACTTCGTGATGGCTTGTCATGTAGAGTTTCTGAGAATTTTGTCAGTCCATAAAATAGTTGATACATCGTGCTCAGAGGGCAAATATGTTAGGCTGTGATGCATCCAGATAATAAAATGATAAGGAGAATATGCAGTGCAGCTTTCATAGGGAGGAGAGTCTGATTCTTAAGTCAAAACCAAAGATAAATAAAAGCAGCAACTTTCTCTTTTTTTTTTCCCTCGGTTCTTTATATTCTCTTATTTTTTATTAATATTTTACTTTTCAGGAAAGAACATTAGGAAAATATTGTTATAGATTATTTCCTATAACCAACAATAAATAAGTAGTCAAACTACAATCCTAAAAAGTCAAATTTTTAGACCTTGTGATGATATATAAGTATCTGAAATAGAATGTTCTCTCTTGCATTGAATTCAGCCTCTGCTCTTATACAATTTTATATGGCTTTTGGGACAGCAAGATTTCTGTTTAACTGGCTCCCTTATCGCAGAAGTCAGTGTTGCCTCATACCTGTTTTCCACAGTAATGTTTTTCCTGTTATTTTAAAATATCGGGAGTATCATATAAGAAGCAAGCAAGTCTGAATTGCTCTGATAAGTGACTGAGGAAGGTGAGCATGAAACCTGAAATGGAGCTACCTCTGCAGCAGAATGAATGCTCACAGATGCCTTTGGCACTAATGATGCAGCACTTCAGTAAGGCAACTTGGGCTCCCATATATTCACTGAGCCATAGTGGCTGCAACCATATTGAGCCCAGGTGAAGTTGTTTTGCACTTTCCATTTTACTCTAGTGAGCTTCATGCCACACACCAATGCTCACTTACCAAAAAATGATGGTAATGGAGCTTGGAAGCTGTAGTGTGAGACTGTGTGCCAGGATGTGCCTGTCATGTGCAACAGGCTGGGGCCAGGCTTAATGTAAAAACCTGGGTGCTGCATGCAGAAACCAGGGGTGCCAGAGCTCTCAAGTCCATAGTCATCCATGACCCTTCTGCCCTTGGGTATTTTCTTCCTTCGCGGAAGAAAGAACAAAAAAAAAACAGCCTACCGCTTCACCCACAAGTGACTGGATCTAGGGAATACAACTTAAAATGGTGTTTAGGAGCCTTCAAACAAATGTGTTTGTGTGCCCACACTGATACAGGAGGACAAAGAAGGGGAACCACACAAAATATTCAAGAAGGCAATGCTAGGACAGATGCTGGTTAAGCCACTGTGAATGACGACTAAGAAAGCCCTTAATTTCAATGCAAACTAGAGGTGCTTCCTACATGTTGAACAAACTGAGCTCAAGGACCCAGACACATCAGGCTGGGAACCTTCGCAACTGGCAGTGTCATGGCAAGGGCTGCAGCTGTCTCATCAGAGAATGCTTGTTTGGCAGAAAACGTGGAATTTCTGGCCGATGAAATACTTGATCTTAGTGCCTCATCAAAGTGCCTCTGTGTGTGCTCAATTTTCCAATTAATGCAAAGATGGAAGTAGGTGGTATTAACATGATGCAGGTTTGTGGCTCTCTGCCATTGAGCCACAAGGTGCTTCCAATCCTGATGTCGTGGAGCTAGGTGGTCAGAGCAAAAATGCTGTAGGTTCACTCTGAGCATGGGTGCCAGAAGCCCCTGGTCTGGTAAAGCTGAAGAAGTGGGATGGTTTTTAAACCTGTATTCACTGTAGCTGAAGGAAGTGGGTGTGAACTAGAGACAAATTAAAGCAGCCAGCAACCACGTGAGAGCTACCGCTTGCCATGGGTTGTTTATTTGTAGTTATAGTTCTGCAAACTTGCTAGCAGTGATAAATTAGTGTTCCATATTTTACCTTTACTCTAATGCATCTTGTGCATCTGTGTCAATTTAAAAACAACCCAAAAAAGTATAAGATTCAATATAAGAGGGATACATGCAAAACTTTTGAAAGCAGCTGCAAGAAACGCTTAATGAATTCAGGAAGTATTTGATTGGTACCTGCAGTTCACTATTTCAGCAGCATTATTGGCTGCTCTTTAGTAAACTTCTTAAACTGTTGCATAGCTCCAATTTTGGACAGCTTGAGTTAACTGCCTTATCCATTCTGAATTGTGTTTGGCACTTCATTTTTATTGGTTTGTCCTAAAATTGAATTTCTTGATATCTAGGTTTGTTGTGATAAGAACCCTTGAGTTAATTTTGAATGATGCTTATAAAGTATGAGTGATATCTCGATGATAAATGCACATCTGGATTCTGTTTCTGTATCATATAATTACTTGTTTTACTGTTGTAGGGGCAATACTTTATTTTTCATACACTTTAAAGAATAGTCAGTCTTTGTGCCTTAATGTGGCAAATTGTCCTTTTTAGTTCAATCTTGCTTCTTGTACTGCTGCTGAAATAGTAATGATTATAATTTATTTTCAATAGGTCAACCCTAGCTTTGATGTGGCTGATACGCAAACACTCGATCCCCCCGTCGTAGAGATAAGTTCCTCTTCATCTTTCAATACTCTGGTAAGTTCCTTGTAAGTGAAAAGGGGATCAGGCATACCTTAGACTAGCAAGTTACTGAAAGTGTATTTGTTTTGTCTATATGGATAAAATATACTCTTAATAACTCCTAAGTGTTCAGAATTCATCCTTTTAAATTTTCAACTTCAGCTTGTTTTCAGTTTCCAAGGATAACCAGAAGATGGTGTAGTAGTGAAGTTTTCATAATATCCCAGCACTTTTATCCTTGTACTACTGTAATTCTAAGCCCATGCTAATTATATCTGAATATTGTTGTTGTTTGTGTCTTATTCTGAAACAGACTTTTTAACTCTGTCTTTATCTGCACTTCATGGGAACCCTAGAGAATAGTTGCCTTATTGCTAAAATTCCAATAATGATGTCTCATTTTCTTTTCCTTTTAAGATATCTGGTAGTTCTCTAGGAAAGAAAAGGTAACACATTCTAGGAAAGAATGATAGGATGAGATTTTTCTAGCGTTAGCTTTTTGTATGACATTGGTATGGCATGTGGGAGGAAAGGAAGGCAATGTTTTAATGGTACTTTCGTAGGAGGAGAAATATGCTCTCCTGGTATGAAGTCCTAAAAGATGTACTGTTCTAGAATTAGGTTAAAATGAGAATTTCTCTTTTTTAGCTCAGAATCTGTTCTTCCAAAGGCATGATTTGTATCTACAGCAATGTTAATTGCCCTATCAACAGTTGTACAGCTGAACGGCTAATATCCAAGCCTAGGCAGTAGGTGGTTTCTGCTGAACTGTTCTATCACGAATGCTTTCTGAACAGGCATCTTATGGGGGTACTTCTTATAAAGTACGTTGAGGGCATTGGGTGAAAATCATGATGTAGAGGTTCACATGTTTAAAAAGAGAAATCTGCGGAACAGAAATAACTACATATTATCTGGTACTTGAAGAGAGAATTTACAGTTTCATATATTTTTAAGGCTTAGCAATTGTCATATTGTGTTTTCACAAAGAAATATGGATCTTTAAAATAAGATAATTTGTGTCAAAAGAAGTAATATGGAGATTTACAGAAGTCTCTTAAGTAGGTTTGACAGATTATAGCTTGATGCAATTTATTGACTACCCATTGCTTTTAAACATACTGTGTTCATTACTTCCTGATTTTAATACTGATTACAGAATTCAGTTGTATGCTACACTATATTTCTTTGTCGTGTATCTATAAAGGTGCCAATCATATAATCTTCTTCATTAGTTTTTTTGGTTTGAAAGCACTTAATAAAACCTTATGCCCAGAAATCATCTGAGAGAGTCAAAGAAGGATTTTTTTTTATGTAGATCCACTACAGATAACAGCCAGACTTTTCAGTCTTATTAAAAATTTTGCTTTAAAAATCATACCTTTTGGCTGTCAGTTCCTGTATATTTTTCCATTACCCCAAGCTGCTGTTCACCACTGGCTCTCACCTTTCTGCACCCCAGCAACCGTCGTACCTTTTTTCCTCCCTTCTCTGCCATCTAACAACGTTTTCTATCCTCGTTGCTCTGATTACAGCCCTAAGGGCAGCTGCTCTGGCCCACAGAGCCACTATTGACACAAATCCAGTAACCATGTGCGCATTTTCCATGCAACTACCTCTTTTCCTGCAATAACATTTCCACAAATTTGGCAACCCATCTGGGCTTCCCTGCTTTCTAATGTCATGTGTACATGTTCAGCATCACTGTGCTATCCAGTACCTGCCTTCTGCCATAACTGCACCTCTTGTCTGTGGAATGGCTGCCTATTTTTTAATTGAGCCATCAGGTTTCTTCATCCTTTGTTTCCAAGGGGTTCTGGATCTCAATGACTTAGACTTTGTCATCTGGAGCTGGCTCAATTGCCATTAATTCTGTAGAGTCTTTATATTCTTCTGAGAAGGCAAAGGCAAGAAGAGAAGATGATGGACTTCTATCTCACACTTCCCAACTTCCCCTTGATATTATTTATCCTCACATGAATGGCATTTTCTTCTTCTAATTTGATGTCATTATTATGTCTAACTGATCCTCTCTTTTCCTGATTCCCGAATCTGGCTTACTCTTTTTTTTCCTAATTATCAGACAATTCCCTGTATACTTCTGTTTTGTTTTCCCCTGTAAAATTTATCAAGACCCATCCTAAAGATACTTGTAGCCTTTTGCTCTACCTCTACTGGAAGGACTCTGGTCTAGAGTCCTGCTCTTTGGGCTGACTTCAGAATCTTTGTTCAAATTGCCAGCTTAATTGACAAGTGTCCAGTGTAAACCTATTTATTCTTGTTCAAGTGTTTTGCTTCAGCTTAAATAGCTCTTCTGCCATTTTGATATATTCAGAAAGGAAAAATATACTGTTGTGCTCATGTATTCTTGTTCAACGACGTTCACAGCAGGGCTATAAGGGTCTTTCAAACAGATGGTATTTGAAAAGCACTTCAGCAAGTCCCTCGACCAGGCTTCTTCAGAACAAATAAAAACAGTGAAGCTTTTGTAGGGTCTGTGATGAGTTCCCAAAAGCTCACTGAAAGATCTTCAGGGAAACTGCAAGTCTCTCTCAAACTGTGTAATATTATGTTGAATTATTATTGAGCTTCTTGACAGTAACTGGATTAATTCCTATAAAACTCCAGCAACTCCAGGAAATAGGAAAAAGACACCCCCCCTCATACCTCCCTGCCTTTATGTCTTCTGTGACAGGCTTTTTCCTCTTTTTGTATTCTACCAATTGAGAATCTCTTCAGGCTATTCAATCTGTGTCTGTTCATACTCATCATAGAAAATACATTAGGACTGCCTCTGAGAAGACTTGGAACAAAACAAAAAGGTATTCCTTTCTCTTTCTTCTGTATAGATTTATTAACTGAAATTATGGAGCAGTATATGTTGGAAAGGGTTTGGAGGAATGTCTTCCAACCTTACACTTAAAGCAAGGTCAGCTTGGATGAGGTTGCAAAGGACTTTGTCCATTTGAATATCTGCAAGAACGGACATTCCACAAACTCTCTGGGCAACTTGTTCTAATATTTGACTATGTTGTGATGAAAATATTTTTCTGAAAATGCAATTGGAATTTCTTATGTTCCAACTTGCATACTGCCCCAGTCCTATCACAATGGTCCAGCTCAGTCTTCTGTTTATTCTCCAGTCAGACATTTGAAACAGCAGTTAGATTTGCCCTGGGACTTTTCTTAAGGCTGAGCAAACCTGTTTCTCTCAGCTTCTGCTCATATCACGTGCTCCGGCCACCTCACATCTTGTTGACCCTTCACTGCACTTGCTCCACAATGTCAAAGTCTTCCCTGGGTAGAGAAGCCTCAAACCGGACACCATAACATGGTTTAAGGTACAGTTAAGTACCTTGTCCTCTATTTTTCACAGCAATCTGCCTGGAGAAAGACCAAAAAAAAATGGCTGTATAATACTATTATTAGTTACCTTTATTGCAGATTTAAATATGCTTATGTAATCTAAGCCATTGATTTATATTTTGAGCTTCCTCTTTTTTCCTTTCCATCTTATTGAAGGCTCTGAAAATATTATATTGCCTCTCTCCCAACTGTTCTTTTCCACATGCCACACAGCTTAATAGTGCTTTGTTTTCTGAGCTATTGAAAAACAAAAGTTGGAAGACTTGTCTCCCTTTGAGACCGCTTCCTCCTATTTCATCCTTTGACTTTTAGTTTTGAGGGGGGCTGGGCTTTTGATTTTTTTTTTTTCTCCCCCATTTTATCCCCTTCCTTGTTTGAGTCTGCAAGCCAGTACACTGGCAACCTCCGGTTCCTGATAAGCTGCTGAGAACAAGGGAAAGTTGATGATGTCTCAGTAGTTTTTACCCACAGCGGCAGGAAATCACTGTATAGGCTCTCCCGTGTTCCATCCCGTGACCTTGCTCATGTAAACAGGATCTGAAGGGAGCAAAGCAATGTACTGTAATGTGAAGTCTGCACTGGTTATGGGAGCTATGCTGGTTTTTCTCTTCCAGTGCTAGTAAACAATGAAAGCAAAGACACATTTATTCATGTATAGTACGATTTCTGTAAAGTTGAGTCGTTAATTATTGGAAGGGTAAAGATACGGATTGTGTCTCTTTGGGATAAAAGGAATATACTGTTTTGTTTTAATGTTACCTTGTAGATTATTTTCTTTTTTACCCCAATTTTAACATTTTTGAGAGCAAATAATAGTGTATGTGCAGTTTTACTCCTCAAGGTAAGTCACTGTCAGCTGGTTCATACTGCATTTGTGCAAGCTCCTCTGTTTGTGATACAGTTGTTCCCTCCACAGTGTGTATTTCAGGTATTTTTGACCCAGATATTACTGCCTGCTGTAATTGGGGATATCCTGAAATAAAAAAGAAAAAGAAAAAAGAAAAGAAAAGAAAATACTCCTTCATGTGTTATAAATTATGATAGCAATTAGGAATGCAGAATTTGCATCTAGTTCTTCCATTTCTCTGTGTACATGAAGGCTTACACAACTGCTCTCTCCCACTGGAAGCAACTTCTGAAGAGATCTTGGGATGCAAACCTTTCTTGTGTGGCTTAACACAAATCCAGAATTTTGCAGAAGAGAGGATGCTAAAAAGGAATGTTGTCTTAAAAGTGCATCTTTTCCTTTCCATGCAACTTCATATTTATTCTGTTTTCCATCCTTTCCTGGCTCCAGCCTTACAGGGAAACAAACGCCATCTGCCTTGAATGACGTTAGTGGAGGGCAAGAGGAAGACAGGAAAAATATGAATTACGCAGCTAGATCACCTCCTTTGGGGCCCCGGTGCTATTCAGAAGGCCACTTTCAGTCGAGTAAAATTCACGTGGCACTTCACAGTGCACAGTGGCTGTCCTTACTGCTTCTTGCAGTTGGTCCAAAGGCACAAGAAGAACCACACAGCATGTTTCTGCTGTGGAGAAACATGGATATTTCTTGGACCTTGGAGACCCAGCCTTTCACTTAAACTCTGATCACTGTATGATGTTTACGTATTCATCTCTGCTAAAGGGAAGTTCTGGTGCTATCCCTTTGAAAAAATGGAATCTCTAACCTCTAAAAAGGGAGACAAAAAGTATTCTACTTTTGCTTCCCATCCAAAACTCAGTCATTGATGAGACAGAGTTCTGCACTGAGGATGGATCCCAGTAGTAGAAGAACTTTGCTCAAAACTGGCATTTCCTAGCCTCCCCAGTCCGTGTGCCTTGCATCAACTTTCCTTGTTCCCAGAGAATCCAAGTGCTACTGCAGAGTATAAAATTAATATTCGGACCATGTAGCACAAAACTAATCTCAGCGTAACAAAGGTCACTTCCTTAGTAGCTGTAGATCTATTTATTTTCTAAATTGCTACTCTTTATTGCTGCTAAATGTAATAGGAAAAAAAGGACAAACTCCATGATCCAGATTCTGAATTTCAAACATGGAATGAAATTACTGAGTAATGTGAAGAGATCTTTCTTCT